GAGCACATTTACAACACTACAGCTCTGTTTTATCCAGTAAAGAGGATTAGTCATGACAAAGAGCAGAAAGAGCATTCTACTGCATCACCGTGCAGGAAGCTTCTGCGATTCAGCTCAGTCATTTCAAATGATCAGTTGTTCAGGCCTCAGTCCTGCCTCATTGACTCTGCTTATGTCTGTTTTACACAAAAACCTCATTACAAAGTGTAGCCTCTGAATATTTCTGCACATATTTAAGAAACTTTAGGTGAACTTTCCCAAGGACTGTAGAAGTTTGAATTTCTTTACATACACTATCATTTAAAAGTTGTTTTTAATACTTTTATTCAGCAAAGTTGCATTTATCAAAAGTGACAGTAAAGACTTCTAGATTGTTACAAAAGGTTTCAAATAAATGCTGTTCTTTTGAACTTTCTATTAAAAGAAAGGTATTACAGTTTCCACAAAACACGACTGTTTTCAGCATTGACGATTGATAATAATGGTTCCAGATTAGTATATTACAATGATTTCTGGAGGATCGTGTGACACTGAAGGCTGGAGTAATGATGCTGAAAATTCAGCTTTGCCATCACAGGAATATATTATTTAAAAAAAAAAAAAGAGTAAAATAGAAAACAGTTATTTTAAATTGTAATAATATTTCACACCATGTTTTTACTGTATTTTTGATCAAATAAAGCCTTGGTAGTGTATGTTAAAAGGGTTTAGAACAAACATAGGTCAGGTTTTGTGTAGCAGCGTTTACATATCAGACTTAGCACTTATTGAATCATTTTACAAGATACAAGACACAAAAGTAGAATCTTTTGTAAAACATTTGGCACTACATATTATGGCAAAACCTCAAATTTCAGATTGTTCTAAAGTAGACGACTGTGGATCATCCAAGACTAATTCTAGGCTAAATCCTTATTTTACTTTTAGAATCAATTAAAATTAGTTTTAAATGGAGATAAATGAAAAGCCCTACGCATGACAGTCTGCATTTTTCAGAGAACCCTCCATTCCTAACTATACTGATTCCAATTAGCGATGCTAATGACACACCGAGATATTTAACAGAGATTAAACAATCATTAGCTGTTTTCTCGCCATTTACTTTACGCTCTCTTAGTCAAATAATGAAAGCACTTAAGAGTCCTAACCCTGGGGTCAAGGTTCCTAATAGTACCCCAGCAAATGACCCTTATACGTTTTGTGCCTGAAGCTAACTTTACCAGATGAATTATAATCTTGCATTTTAAAAAAGGCCACAAATGTTCATAAACATACAATGACAAAGAAGTTTACAAAAGGTATTATATTAATGCACCCATCCATACAGACAGATACGTGGTGAATACACTGTCATACATGGCCTCTTGTGCCTTATTGCTTTATTAAATCATTTGATGCAGTACTCTATTATACGTACTCTATCTACAGTACTAAATGATAATAACAGTAGTGATGTGTGCATACAAATGAAAGAGCCAGTTACAGACTGGAGACAATTACGCTGACAAGGTTTGCACATAATGTGCTTATTGTCAGAGTTCATTTGAACGGCATCTTTCCAAGACACAGAAGTCCCTAGTGTAGTCATTATGGTTTAACTGCAGACATGAGCAGAATTGCACCGTATGTTTATTTACTTCCAGAACTTGAGAAGATCACCAGAAAGGGCCGTCTGGGTCCCTGAATAACATGCTAATATGAAACAATGAACTCTCAAAATGACAGGAGCAGTAAAATAATGATGTCTGAATAAATATTCCATCCCAGAAGAGCATTTACCTTTATTTGTAATGTAGCAGGGTTAACCTGCTCAGTGTTTCTGCTGGGCGACTCCAAGTAAACGATCCAAAACATGCACATTTTAGCATTAATTATGCATTATTAATTCGCTGAGTTTTCCTTGCCTTCGAGATAACTTAAAGGGGTCATATGATGCTTTTTTAAAGATCATTATTTTGTGTATTTGGTGTAACAGAATATGTTGACATGCTTTGCAACTTCAGGGATCTTATCTATGCACAATCAGCTTGTAACACTCCAAAGAGAAAGGAAAACTTGAAATCGCATCATATGACCCCTTTAAATCATGAGATTTTATGGAAGCTAAATAATAAATACATTAGCTCAATTTAAGGACAAGAGATTTGACTCCATTAATTCCAAACCCAGCAGCAATGCATCACTTCTTTAATTTTTAATAATAGAGATCCACATACTTACACATGAGCTTTGCTGCACGCGTTTCTTTCCCAAATGTTTCCACTTACAATACAGTAATATTTCAGATTCACAGTGATTGCACCCCCGGCGTCCTCTATCGATAAATCACACCGTGTGGATTCTCCCCGAGTCCTCTAAGAGCACAGCTGTGGCTCTGCACTCGTTTAAAACATCTAATTTACAGAGGAATCTAAAGTGATTAGAGATGGGAACTGATAGATAACCTCTCAGGACTTCCTGAAAATACGTCTCTGAGATTTATCATCATGATACCAAAACCCGCTTAAGGAGGCGTTTTGGCCATAACTTATCTTTCCCTTGATGCATATAATAACGCTGGTAAAAGAATGAGTCACCGAAAACCAGCAACACGCCAGATCAGACTCTGCACATATTCACAGCCAACGCAAAATTACAGACATGTCAAAAATCTGATTATCGGCCTCCACACAAATATTAACTTAAGCCAATTGTATTATTTAGCAAGGATGCAAATGAGCACCAGAAAATGACAGGTCATCCTAAAGAAATATGCCAACCTAAATACGAACCATTGTCTGGAATTCATGCCTAATCATATACAGTGGCTCTAAAAAACTATTTGGACACTTTTGTACACATTTAAAAATGTCTGAATGTCATTGCATTAGATAATAATATATTAACCAAGTGGCATCTGCAAACTAATGATGCTATAGTGGAACTATTTTTAAAACTAACTTCAGTTTCTGGAGTCATTTTTGCATTGACTTTAAACCAATTTGTGTCAAGGGCTGTGTCCGAAAGCTTAAGCATGTGTTGTACTGCCCATCTGCTAATGACTCAACAGGCAGGGTTTTGTGTATGAAGACACCTACAGAAACTGATATCCAAGGCACCATAGTTCATTTTAGACACAAGCAAGAATTTAAAGACTACTATGCTTATTTTTTACTGGAAATGGAAGCAAAATGACAACAGGATATTTATGAATTAATTAACCTGATTTAATTATTCCATAAGACACCAATTTTATACTTGCCACCAGTTGCCGAACCACATGCACATGGTTGTGGGATAACATTTAAGCTGTTTTCAAAAACAAGTTGTGAAAAAAAATATTGAATTTGGATGCCTTCCCTCATCCTTATACTGCAATCTTTTTCAGGTTTAGGACACAACCAAGGTCATTTTAGTAGATGCATGAAGTCAGTTTCCCTCAGTTTCACACATTTTCCTAGCAGAGCAACCAAAGTTGTAGACTATTTGGACATGTTCCACTAAGATTAAAATAATAAATTGTACAAATCTCCTGTAGCTAAAAGTGACATGCAATAGTGAATAGAATTTAAAAACATTGGTTCAAAAGTTTGAGTTCGATACTTTTTTTGTGCTAATAAATGTATGCATTTACATGATCAAAAATACAATAAAAACAGTAATGTTGTTAAATACTATTACAATTTAAAATAACTTTTTTTATTTTAATATATTTTAGAATCTAATTCATTCCAGTGATGGCAAAGCTGAATTTTTATTGCTCATTGCTCCAGTCTTCAATGTCACATAATTCTACAATATTCTATACTATTATGCAGATTTGGTGCTCAAGAAACATTTCTAAAGTTGAATGCTAAAACAGTTACTGCTTAATGTTTTTGTGAAAATCATGATACATTGGTTTCAAGATTCTGTGATGAATAGAAAACATTCATGTTTTGAAACATTATAAATGTATTTATTTAATGCATCCTTGCTGAATAAATATTAAAATGAATATACCAACAACATGTAATTTAGGATTAGCATCTATTTTTCACATTGTAAATATATTCCAAGAAAAGTTTTTTCCCTCTTCTATCTGTTGACAGTGGAGCTCATATAGTCCTTATTCATGAGTACACACTACAGTAGGTTGTCCCTTATCGGGATAAATGTGGGATCTGGATACATCTAGAAATAGCATCATATTTGTGGAAAACATTCACAGGCTTGGGTTCTGAGGTCCTGCCTTCAACAAGGGATGAAAATAACCACCCATTTCTTACTTTCCTTATCATTTGTTCATAAAGGCAGGCAACTTCTGCTCTGATAAATCTGTATGGTGGAACATCATTAAAACTTCTAGGAATCATTTGACTTTCAAATTGAAATGGAATATTTTTTTTTTTTTTTTTAAATATAATCTCTTGTGAAGTGTGTCTGACAGTGCAGTGTAATACTCATGGTACCTCGCTCTGTTCTGGGATCTGTTGTTTGTTAAACCATGGAGAAAGAAGCACTGGAGCGCCAAGCACACAATGAATTTTAATGAAGATGTAGGAAAAGAGAAAGTCATTTCTGATTTGGAAGAGATGGGTAGAATTTCATCAGACACACGTATCGTGATAGACTTTAAAAAGCAAGAGAAACGTACCAGGGGAGCTAGGTTTCAAAATGATTTAATTAATCTACTTTATGAAAGTTTAATTAAACAACGTGTCGCAAAAAAACCCTCTTTTCTAACTATGGGGCTTTTCATGCCACACTTAACCCTGGGTTATGGTCTTACTAGGCCAGTACCACTTTTTAACCCTTACAAATGCAATGTTTCACTCTTATAATTCTGAAAGAGGGTTAAGTGATGCTTTTGACCCTGGGTTATGGATTTTGTCAGCCAAGGTGCGTCAACCCAGACCTACAATTTATCCCCTCTGACCTTCAGTTATAATTACCACTCACCATGGTCTTTTGACACAGACTTGCACATCTTATCAGAGTTTTGAGAAATGCTTCCTGACAGTTCAGAGTTTCTGTTCAGTGTCTGGTTAACTGCTTCTTCAGTTCTCACCTTTGGAAAAGAGATAAAAACACAGCTGCTGTATCTCATATTTCTATCACTATAAAAAATTAAAATGTCTGAATAATGCATAATATCTGGCAAAAATATTAACAACATACCTTACATACATACCAAAACATCCACACTAACTTTCTGAAAATTTTTGGACTTGTACTCTTGCATGCGCAGGTGGTTTTCTTGATATTTTTCCTCCACAATTTGCCTAGAGTAAGACAAAACTTGCATTTAGGTTTAGACTTTACACAAACTGTGTGTAAAGAATCTGAAGAAATGAAGCATTACATCACTTGCTCGCCAGTGTATCCTCTGGAGTGAATGGGTGCTGTCAGAATAAGAGTTCAAACAGCTGATAAAAACATCACAATAATCCATACGACTCCAGCCCATCCTGTCCATGTCTTGTGAGGTGAAAAGCTGTGTGTTTGTAAGAAAGCAATCTATGATTTCGACATTCTTAACTTTAATCCATCTTTGGAATATCTGAATATTTTCTGTTCTGTAGAAGAATGAATGTCATACAGGTTTAGAACAACATGACGGTAGTAATGAGCATAATATATCAGTCTGTTTTTGAGTGTGGCATATGAGCCATCATTGACTGTTCCTATTCTATCAGTGCAACACAAAGAATCAGAGCTGACGTGAGACACACTGCCAAAAATCCTTGCACCGTGAAAACAGAAAAGCCCTGACACTCATGCTAACTTTATGGAATATGAACTGCGAGTCACATTTGATTAACATTCAGTGTGACACGGTCAGCGCAATGAACGTCACTCACTTCAGCTTTCTTGCTTTCTCATCTGCTGCTTGGAGTTTCCGGAGCCGCATGTGTTCTCTCGGGCTTATTTTCTGCACCTCTGATCTCTCCCGCAGTGTGTGCAGATGTACCTTCTTCTGCCTGTGGGGTTCAAGAACTACATTTACTGAAATGACTAATGACTACTCCTTTGCTTTACAGACATTGTTTGAACTGTGTGATCACAGCTGATGTGATGAAGTTGTTGATGTTCATGAATTTGCCATTGGGGTTTATTAGTCAGCATATATTACTTTGCTATTATTCAAAAATGTGGAAAAGGAATAAGAAAAAGAGAATGTGTGTCCATATTTTTTACTGGCAGTGTATCTATAATTCATGAAAATCTCAAAAGAAATAGGGCATTTTATTTGAAGTTAGGATTTAATCCAAAAAAAAAAAAAAAAGAGTAGAATCCAAACAAGGAAAGTATATCATTAGGTTATTCATAAGAACTTGTGTGAGACAGCTTCAGATGCTTTGTGTGCAGTCTTTGGACACCAAGCATATTAGAATGGTGTTTGAATGAGCTAATGAGCAAAAGGTTCAGTCAGATTTCTCAGTTCAAGTCAAGGCTGCATATAACCTCATGCATATATCTCAGCTTTATGCCTCATGGTGAAGACAGACATGGAAAAGGAAAAAGGAAAATAAAAAGGTATAAAGGAACTCACAAATTTTACTGTAAAACAAATTATGTCCAACAACATAATCTACCATTTGTTTTTAAAATAGCAATATTCAAACTTTGAAATGAAGCAAATGATCACTCAAATGTTCTTAACACAAACATACTACAGCATTTCATTTGATTATTTCATAATATTATTAAAATTATGATGTGCATTATCACATACTACCTATAAAACCATGTTCTCATAATGTACAATAACAGATCAATACTTCATGAATACTTCAGTATTAAATATTAAAATAAATTACACTTAAAAAGACATGAATAAATGATTGAATTAATAAATAGAATTAGAATAATATATAATAAATAAATAAAATTTTATAACAGTTATTATATTATAATATAATATAATATAATATAATATAATATCATATAATATAATATAATATAATAATATAATAATATATGTCTGAAATAAGTATCTTATGCTCACCAAGGCTGCATTTATTTGATAAAAAATACAGTAAAAGCAGTAATATTGTGAAATATTTGTACAATTTAAGCATTATTTAATATATTTTAAAATATAATTTATTCCTGTGATGGCAAAGCCGAATTTTCAGCAGCCAGTCTTACTCCAGTCTTCAGCTTCACATGATCTTTCAGAAATCAGTCTAATATGCTGACTTGGAGCTCCAGAAACATTTCTTAGTACAGTATTATCAATGTTGAAAACCAACTGTGTAGCTTAATATTTTTGTATTTAGAACACAGTTTTTTTTTTCAGGATTCTTTGATGAATAGAAAGTTCAAAAGAACAACATTTATGTGAAATAGCAATGTTTTACTGTCACTTTTGATTCCTTGCTGAATAAAAGAATGAACTTATTCTTTTGAAACGGTAGTGTACAAAAACTTTTCCAGTTTTGCTACCTATTCTGTCCCAGTGCTCAAGAATCAATGAACTGCGCTTGATAGATCTCGCTACGCACTGTTGGCTTTAACATTGCATAGATTTTCACTAGGTCATAGCTAATTATGATTGGCACATGCTCTGGTGACAAAGTTTTTAATTAGCATGGAAAGCGATGACTGAATTAATGAAAGTCTGCTGCTCATAGACTGCCACCTGATTAACATGTTCCATACACTGAGTACACAGCAACAGAGCTACATACATATTTTTAGGTCCCCCCCCAACAAGGCACTGTGAAAATGACAACAAAAAAAGGCACAAAAACAGTCCTGTTCCCAGAAATCCCTGGTGTAGATAGTGTCATGCATTTCTCAGCTGACAGCGTCACTGCAGGAACAGAGAAGTGCGACTGCCTGTAAAATATCTCTCTGAATCCACTACTTACAGTGCTCTCAGGATCTGCGACGCGTCTCTCTCTCCCCGCATCGACTTGTCTCGCAGCGTCAGGCTAAAAAACTTGTGCTTCATGCTCTGCAGTGAGAAAAATAACAGAAGAGATGAAAAATCGGTTAATGCTGTTCTCTGAGGCCTCGTAAAAGGTAGTGTTTTGTGAGCAGCTGCAAAAACAAAAAGCAAAACAGCAGCAACAAAGCTACTTTTCAATCACACAGACTCCTGCGTATCAGAACTCTTGAATCAGAGCAAACGGGGGAAAAAGGGGGAGAGAAAGACTGATATTATCCTCAGGGAAGAATCTGCCACGAGCACATTTAAAGAACAATACGAGACATTTGTAAGGCGCAAATTACACAGGCAGAAGAAAGACTTGAAACTGTACACAACAACAGAGGAGGGATAAGCCATCAGAGAGTATCGTGTACAGAGTTGTAGTTTGGATGCCCTTTCCTTCTCTGATTACATGTTTCTGAGATGGTGATGGTGTAATAGCCAGTGGAAGAGACACATCCCACCAGGAGATGTTTCAGATGGGGGTTATGGGATCACTAGTATTACTAAACGCCCTGATGTAAACAAGTCAATATGACTGCGAGTGATGAAAGGGTGCTATAACTGCAAATATTGTAACCGAGATGCATTAAACAAGGGCTATAAAAAAAAAATAAATGCACAGGGCCATTACGAGTACACATCATGATAAAGATGCATATAGTGCAATTATATTTTCACAGTGGGATGGTTTCAGAATTCTTTATGTAATGAAGAACACTAATGACATGTACAGTAGCTCTAGGAAGTTAAGCAGTCATTAGATTAGATTTTGACATGATCTTTGGGTTGCAGTTATTAACAAGACATCTTGGCTGGATGTGGGCGTTAGGGAGGTCATGTGATCCGGATGTTTACATCTTATATACTGTATTTGATACAATTAAGCATTATGTTATAGTTAAGGGAAGAATTCATTAAGGATTATACCTGACACAGCTGTTCTGAACAGTTTGTGATCTGATTCGCTTGATTTCACTTTATTTTATGTTCGATAGGATACCAGAAGTACTTCAACAACCAACTGTTATTTTACACAGAAAGTTAGAAAAAGGCCTGGATCCATAATGAATTCGCACCAGGCAATGTAACAAGAAGTTTAGCTTTTGTTATGCTAATTGACCAAGGCAAAAATACATGAGGAGAAGCACTGTTGAAAAAATAATATAATATAATACTCATATATTTCTTATTTGGATTATATGCAAATGCTTCATGGCTCAACAATAATAGGATTTTTCTGTTTGCACAGTTGGACCTGTAGTTCAGATTTTAACTTTCCCTGCCAACATATTCACTGGCACTAGCATAAAAGAATTAAGTTTTTTAAATAACTGACAGAAGTATTAATATTTATCATTTAAAAAATTTCTTCTTCTTTTTTTTTTTTTTTTTAAATATGCAACAAGTTGTTAATCATGCTGCTATGTAACTCCACAAATTAATAAACGTTTGTTGGAAAACAAAAAAACTTTTTCAATTTCGATTCAATTCTGCAAATTCAACAAAAAGAATCATTCATCAAATTCAACAAAAATCAACATCAATGTTTACCAGCTAGATAACATTATATTCAACATTTTAAGTTTGCAAGGTATAAAAAAACTGAAGTACAGTACAATATCAATGAACGCAAACATTTTTAAAGTAACGCAGCACTGGCCCATAAGTGACAGTGGCCTGAACACTGGAACATTCTCATACACTGGCCCTGGGACAAACACAATAAAGTTATAATTATTATAGTAAAAAATAAAATAAAAAGTCTGTCACACTAGAACGTTTGGCGCAGAACAGAGTCAACCATCCTTAATGTTGAGCTTTGGTCTGTAATTTTCACAGAGGTTGTTTGAGAAAATTGGACCGAATTGAAATCTGTGAAAAACAAATTTATGTAAGCTTCTCAAAGAAAATGGTCCTTTCCAAAAAGGGTAAAGAAATGTTTGCAGAAACATTCTGAACTTTCATACATTTACAGACTGATCTATTGTTTGAGAGATGCATAAAAATGAATATATTCCAGGGAACAAGACCAACTACGACAAAACACAATCAATACAATCACCAAGCGGCAACAATGCCAATCACTGACATTTCAAAAGTACAATCTGAAAAGGTTACGCACAGGGTGAGTCAAATGTGATGGCGAATCGGTAATGTGATGAGTATGCATAACAGACTTTTAGAAACCTACTGAGCTTGGCTAGCAATCAAAGTCTTCCTGGTGCATTATGGCCCTTCCCATTAACCTTTGAAGCAGATACTCAGAACAGCTGGTCGGATGCCCTCCCGTCCGGCTGATCTGATTAACGGTGTCTCCTCACCTGCAAGCTCTCCTCAATGAACCTGCTCCTCAGCGCATTTGCTGCCGAGATCCTGCGTGAAGAATCCTTTTCTAACATGCTGGCACCACAGGAACAGAGAGAGAGAGAGAGAATTATGTTTAAGACCTCATGAAATGCTGATAGTTTTAGCTGAATGCTTCTAAACCTGCTTGGATTTTGCATAATCTGCTTTGAAAAATGGCTGAATCAAACAAGCCATTGATTTGTGTCTATCTACTCATCCACAGCGGGCAGACAGACAGATATAGCCTGGTGGTGTGGGTTGACATGGGCCCGATTTGCGCCTGGAGCAGGGCAGCATCTGTTTCTGGTACCTTTGCATTAGACAGTTTAGCTGCCGTGAGTATGTTTCTGGCAGGGATGGAGTAGGTCCCTCCACAATCCTCATCACCACCGCCAAGAAGTTCTGTGCCAGACAGCACATCTCATTGAGGATACAGCCTAAAGACCTGCACCGGTGGAACAAATAGAGAAGAAATACTTAAAGGGGTCATATGATGCGATTTCAATTTTTCCTTTCTCTTTGGAGTGTTACAAGCTCTTGGTGCATAAAGAAGATCTGTAAAGTTGCAAAGACTAAAGTCTCAAATCCAAAGAGATATTCTAAAGTTAAGAGTCAACCACGCCTACCTAAAACGGCTCGTTCTAACATGCCCCCACATGTCTACGTCACAATGTGGGAAGATTTTCATAACGCCGCCCAAATGTTCACGCAAAGAAAGAAGGCGTAATTTTTATTCTCGCTGTAGTATTGTTGTTGCCGCTGCCGCCATGTCGTGAAGGCACTATGTGTTTCGTTGTGAAAGCGAAACTACTTTGTTTGGTCTTCCAAAAGAGGAC